TTGCTGGAACGAAAAGAATAACAAAGAAGTTTGCAGATCTGGAAAAGGTACAATCTTATCACAATTTCTATCTAAACACAAAGACGATTTTTTGTGGGAATCGAAAATTATTTTAAATTCTGCTGTGCATGTATAAGTAGATTCCCAACAAATATTAATAGTCATGACATATGAGTTAATTATCACGTATTTCAAATTTCATGTATCGTTAAGATAACACGATATAGACTCATGATTTCCCCCACTACGATCTTTGTGAAATTCACTATGTTGAGAGTAATGTATTACACATTACGATTTCATTTATCTCATTTTCGTTTCGCGTAGTATATACCTTTAGATTTTGGGACTACAGGTCCAAAAACTTCACGTTTTTTCTAGTAAATTAAATTTAGGATTGCGTCCATCTTATTTGGCCAAACATTACTTCGATCGATATATTTCGACAGATTTATTTCGATTCTTCACTATTCATAATATAATGCAGTACATCATGTGTAAAACTGTTGTCGACAACTTTTTAATTTCTTGTTTGATTTTATTTTTTCCCATAATGATATAACTTATTGAGATATCTCAATTTTCAATATATCAGGTACTTGAACCTCTTCCGGAGTTTTATAATTTATTATGTCTACATACTTATCAAGAGTATATGTCTCTTCAATGAGACCATCTTTGCTAATTGTTCAATTTTCGTTTGAGGATTTTTTTTATTAGAATCGACACCATCATACTTCAGATGTGTCATAGATATATCAAATATAATGTTAACAAATTGTCTCCTCTAGGACATCAATTCGTATTGGAGCACTGAAAATTCGTGAGTGAGATATTGTTAATCTCTTTGATCAGTAAATACATCTAAATAAATTATCTTTCGAATTTCTGGTTTAAATGATATTTAGCGATAATTTAGATGATGATGCATTTATATATTATTTTCAACTTCTTAATTCCTCTCATAATGCTGAGAGAATTGTTCAATCAAATTAACAATAATTTTTTCAGCGTAATAATATATCACTCATTTGGAATAAGGGTTAAAACTACCTATTTATTCTCAATATTCTTTACTTTCCATCTCAGTGCATTTTGATGGATCAATTTTACATATATTACATTATCAAAATGATTAGATGGAAAAATTAGGTTCTAACAGTAAGCCAATTATAATATGGAGAACTATGATGTTGGCATGATGCATAACTCTAAACAAAAATAAGAAGTATGTTGCTCTCAATTATATTAATTGGAGGTGTTTAACGAACAACAAACAGTGTTAAATCATTTATCGACATCCCAACTAACACTTATTAGAATGTTGAGATTTATACCCACTAGCATTAATAAGACACGATCCTGATTATATAATCTGAAAAATTATGCTCATGACTTGAGCAATAATTTCTCAAACTTCAGGTTTTGAATATCGTGCAATCATCTAGTATTTATATCAAATTTATTAGATATAAATAATATTTAAATGGTCAATATGGATGATGATGGGGCCCATTTATCACCCTAATTATGAAAGAGAACAAACTTCATATAAGATTCCATTGGATTGAAAAATCTTTTGGTTCTTAATTGAATATCCATTTGATTTTTTTCATCATTATCGATATAGTGATGGCCCTACTGGTCATGCCAAATAATAAAATCAAATTGACTTTTTGGTTCAATATAAGATATAATTTATTTAATTAATTTTAAAGAATATGATTAAATATTATATAATCATATATCATTCAGGTAGTCAAACAAATCATTGTCCTTATGACATTAGTTATATGTTTTTTATCAAGGATAAACACAAATTCAAAATGATATTTTTCGAAAGATGTGCCACTTCAAAAGCACGTTGTATTTTATTATTGCTCAAACTCTGGGGAGCAATCAAATATTATTATAATAAATTATACAAGAATTTACTCTTCAGTGGTAAAAATATAGTTTATGTTATATTGTATGTAATTATACTTTTCGAGAGTAAGTAAGATCTAACTAGAATATTAACGAAAATTATAATGTGCTATTTTGAGATCATATTATATTTTATTATTACTTCTTCAAGAGCAATAGATCAATATTCTTCTGAAATATGAAAAGTATTAATGTCATGCTCTTCACGAACAATAACATATTATTGTCTACAATAATAAATTATGTAAAAAGTTACTCTTTAGGAGTAAAAATATAATTTTATGTTAGATCTTATATCATTATGCTCTTCAAGAGCAATTGAATCTACCAGAACATCAATATCTATACGTATACAAATGTGACTTAGAATTAATATTCAAACCAACAAAAACCAAAGAAAAAGAAACAGCCTCGTTATGATGTATGTGAATGTATAAAAAAAAAATCACATGTCATCAAATTAATTTTGATACACGTGATAAATAATTCTGCTTAAAGAATTACTACATTCACTAAACTTGGAAGAATTAAGCGCTCATGTAGATAACGTGTTACAAAAAGAGAGAAAATAGAAGGAAAAAGAATAGAGAGAAGTCAATATACTTATATGTATTTTATTAAGAACCAGAGTCTTATATTTATAGATAAGAATTAGGGATACAACGATAATAACTTCTAAAGCAGCAGGAAAAAAATTGGCATTCACTATCAAACCCCAATAAACTTACCATTTACAAGAGTTTCTCCCTTTCTCACACCACTCTTCCTTTTCATTTTATTAAGCCATCGTTTGGCCTCTATTCTCATTCATTTTTTTCTCCTCTCTTATTTTCAACCACACAATCTTTCATAAAATAATACTGCATGTAAATCGAAAATTTTTCATTCTTTTTCAACAACACATTTAAAAAAAAAAAAAAAAAAAAACCCTATTTCAAACATTAAAATATGGGAAAAAAAATGGGAGCCAAACATTATAATCGTTATTCTTTCCAATTTTATTTTTCTTTTTAGCTTTTTTAGTTTATTTAATTTAAGGAATTTAATTGTCCTTCCACGTGACATTAATCGAAGATTTGGATGAAAATTGTCAAAAGAGACTATCTGCATGAGTCAATAAAATGAGGGGATGGTAAGTGCTATAAAATGTAATGGGGTTGAAATTGAATTAAAGTGAAAAGATTGAGAATCTAAAGTGTTATTTACCCTTAAATAAATTTCTATAGTATGTTAACCAGATTATTAATTGTTCATTGAACCAAAGTAACATGTTCGTGTTATTTACCCTAAAATGAATTACCATCGCATGTTAACTAGTAACTTATTACGAGTGTGTTTGAACCACATTATTTTTTGAGAATGTATTTTGGAATAATAGATTGATGAAGAATGTGTGGTTAAAAAATAAGGAAAAAATTTAAATTTGTGTGTAATATTATTTTATTAAGAAATGCGTGATTGAAATGATGTCAAATCACTGTTTAATAATATATTTGTTCAAAATAATGGGCTCAAACAGGGCATATTTTCTTATGGAGTTAATTAAATGAATGGTCATTATACTTAATCCTAGATTATTAATTGTTCGTTGAAAAAAAAAAAAAAAGTTTACATTGCTTGCTCATCTATTCAGATTGTTACACACCCATTACTTTAGTGAAATTCGTTGGCGCCCCGTAGGGGGTCAACGAGCAGAGCCAAAACCCCTGTTTCGAATTTTTTAAAATCGAGCTTTTTTGGCCTGAGCCAAAAAATTAAGGCTCGACTTGAGCTTTCGGCAACCTTATCGAGCCGAGCGCTCAAGTTTTTTTTCCCCTTCCCTCTCTCTCTCATAGCTGTTGGTAGTTGCCAAACAATCAGCTAAAAATTTTAGCTGCCTCAACAAAAGTTAATCGGTTGATTTTTTTTCTTTGCAGACCATTTTTTTTTTTGAAATTTAACTAGTTGGCCCAGGCTTGAGCCGACTCCTCGAAATGGGGGTCAATGCCTCCGACTCGTGGTCGAGCCGGCTTGAGCTTTCCCCAAGCCTAGCCATTGGCTGTTTCGAACCGATGAGCCAAATTTACATCTATAATGCCTTATAAGTATCTAAATTTTTTAAAACATGAAATGTATACCTTAAACTACGGATAAAGGTGTTCTGGAGTGTGGATGGTCATAACCTATTATGGGGGTATGTAATCTAAAATATAGGTATTCATATCTAATATGGATAACACTATTTGTACATAATTTTTTTTATATCAAGGCGTCCCACACTCACATAGAATTACTATTTCGAGTGGGCCCCATCCCATATGAATGTGAGACACCTTGATATACAAAAAATTATGTGCACCAAGTAAATCCCATCTAATATTACGGGTTTAGATACTAATATCATAACTAACCAATGCCATGCTATTTCTAGGGTGATGACTTTCTTGAATTATCTAAATTATATTTTTATCTTTCCCATTTGACAATAACCTATTATGGGGGTATGTGATCTAAAATATCTAATATTATTAGATACTAATAAGTAATATCACATCTAGCCAATGTCATGCTATTTCTAGGGTGACGAATTTCTCGATTTATCTAAATTATATTTTTATCTTTCCCATTTGACAATAACTTTTATTTCTATAAATCTGACCGTGAAAATATAATGAAACAACATAAAATTAATATTTTGTTCCATGAGTATGGATACCTTAAGATACATGTAGACTTACCTAAAAAAATAAAGGTTTACGTGGATATTAATACCTTAGCAGACAATTTGAATTCGTCTCTTAATAAATATTTGGGAATTTGTATTTTAGCAGCTCAAACAATAGAAAGTCAATTTGTGACTCCACATTAAGTTGATTTTCGTCGATAATATGGCAATTTTTGTCGAGTGAGAGTAACGAATTTCACTACTGAATAAAATTTTGAATAAATAGGCAAGTAACGTGTAACCCTTTTTCATTTTTTATTTATTTATTTTTCATTATTTATTTATTTATTTATTTGGTGAGAAAGTAATAACTTATAAATAAGTTTTGTTATTTATTTTCATCTAAACTAAAAATCGTTAGATTTTAAAATAATTCATCTTTTTAAAGCGCAATTAATCATGGCAGACGGGATGGTAAGGCATGTGCACAGAATGATCAAACTACTTGCAACCAAACTCCGTTGATGTCCACAACGAAGATGAAGCCAGGCTCAATTTGCCTCTTCCTTCTGCTCCTAATCGCCACTCAAGCATGCACATTTTACAGATTTGCCGACTCAGCGAAGCGGCGGATCCACATTTCCGACGATCTAGACGACGTCGTTGACGATGAGGAGGATGAGGCATGGAGAGAATGGGGCAAGAGTAAGAAGAAACCCGACTTCGATCCACCCCCTACTAATTTCGACAAAATGAGCGTCTCCGAAATCCAGGACGAAATGATGAAACGCCAGTTCGGACCCGTCTTTGGGTTCGTTAAGCTCCGACCCGGCACTGGCCGGGACAAGGTGAGTTTGTACTACTGCTGATTAAGGTAATTTTGCATTTTTTACTGGAATGGAACGTGTTTCTGTTCGGAGTGTAATTTGTGGAGATTTTGTATTTTTGGGTTCTGAGCTAGGGTTTACAGAATTAAAAATGACCACCTATTTGGGTACATAGGCCGCTTCAAATTAGGTTTTAAAATGTGAATTTGTGAAAAATAGATTAACTTTAGTGGAAATATTTCTAATTCGAATTCTGAAGCTGCCAAACTCTACAATAATTATCAATTTGAAGAGAAATGATCGACAAGTTGGGGGTCTTTTGGCATTCTGATACTTTATTTGAGCAGAAGGAATCCCTGTTTTGCTGCCAAATGCTCGATGTTTTAATCTCCATATGACAGGACATCATATTTGAAATTTCTCTGAGATGGATCAATGCCACGAAAAGTTCATTGATTTGAATGGAAATATTTCTTATTCTAATTCTGAAGACACCTAGATCTACATCAATGATCAATGTGAAATAGAAGTGTTAGAAGAATTGGGGATCTTTTGAGATTCTGATACTTTATTTGAGCTGAAAGAATTCATGTTTTCTGCCAAATGTTGGAAGTTTTGATCTGTCCTTTTTACATTAGGATATCGTATCAGAAATTGCTATGAAATGGACCAATGTTGCAAGAACTGGAGCAATTGAGGCGAAGTTCATGGGGGTCGATCTGAGTACAATTATGTTCACCATGGAAAAAGGTCTAGACGCTATTGAGGTTAGTTTATTTCTTGAATTGAGCTTCTTGTGCTCTTAAAGATTTCGCTTGCAAATGGTTTATGAGTTTGTATAGGCATTTTAAATATTTCTATTACACCTTTCCAACTTTGGTAGTTAAAAATCTGGTTATGTTATAGCTTAAAAATTGAATCTTGAATTTAACAGAATGAAACCTGATCAGTTAGTCAGTTCGACTGAGAACTGGATGCACTGGCCGCATGTTGACCTAATTTCATGTTTGCTTTTTTTTCAAAAGTTTTTAAGGAGCGACTCATCTTTGACATAGTTTATGCCATGTTGTTAACATTGTCTTCCGGTTCTATCCTTGACTCTTGACCTTTTGGGAGTCAATTACCCTGCTTGGTTTAAAATATTGCCTAAACCAACGTCATTTTCACTGTTTTTGCTTATTCTCTGGAGTGTGTAGAGTTTAGAAATAGATCCACATTTTTAGTTGATTGCTCTTCATATATAAGGCAGCCTTTTCCCTGCATTTATTTCCACTGTATCTTGAAATTGAACAAATTAAAAACTCGTCTATGAAAGCAATGACTCGATGTCTGGTTCATCACTTTGCTTGTTTTTTATACTAAGTTTTAATTTCAAAATTGTAGTATTTGAAAACAAGTGGCATAGAGTTTTAGATGAACCCTCATTGTATTTAAACTTCTTTTATATAAATTGGCAGTAAATATTGATGGTATGTCCTCGTTTTTGACCTTTCAACAATGTCTTTACCAATTTGTGCAGTTAAAAGAATTCTTATTAAACCAACCAGAAGCATATGAGATAAAAATTGGGGACCAACTGTTTAGAAGAGAGGGAGATCCTCCTTTCGAAGAAATATTTGAGAAGCTTCGTGCTGAAAAGGGCAAATCTGATGATGCCGGTTCTAAGAAGGATGAAAGAAATGACGAGCTTTAACATCAGGAAGTTCGAAGAAAGAAATGACGAGCTTTAACATCAGGAAGTTCGAAGACTTTTTTTTCATTTCAAATCCTCTAATTGGTAATTGTAGACGCATTTCGATACATAAACGACAGAGATTGTTCGTTCACACGAAAAAGGGTTGTTTCCTCTTAAAACAACAGGCGATTCATAGAATAGTTATTACAATATTCTTACATTTGAAATATCTTCTTTGGCTTCTTACAGACGTTAAATGATGCAAATTTATGTTTGAGATCCAGAAATAAAGTATTGTCATTATTTGTCGTGTGTCAAAAAAGGGTTTGACGACAAGAACAGAGAGCATCATCGAGAATCATCAAGAAGGGGGTCATCTTAACGAACATGTTGCAAGCAAGTGACAATCTTCGGTAAGACGGTCACGCCACGTAAACTGACGCAGTTTGATTTTATGTGCCTAAGGGTACTTAGGAGAAAATCTTCGTTAGAACGGTTGCACCACAAGGTGTGTGGGCCAACAGCATTTAGAAAAAAGAGACCACATTACCACAAACCAATCCAGTATTTATCACATACAACCAACATACTAAGGAGAAAATCTTTGGTAAGATTCGATTTTACGTGCCTAGGGGTACTTAGGAGAAAATCTTCGGTGGAGTAGTCGTACCACAGGGTGTGTGTGGGCCAACAACATTTAGAAAAAAAAGACCACATTACCACAAACTGATTCAGTATTTGTCACATACAACCAACATACTAAGGAGAAAATCTTCGGTAAGACGGTCACACCACATAAGCTGACGCAGTTCGATTTTATGTGCCAAGGGGTACTTAGGAGAAAATCTTCGGTAGAGCGGTCGCACCACAAGGTGTGTGGGCCAACAACATTTAGAAAAAAGAGACCACATTACTACAAACCGATCCAGTATTTTTATCACATACAACCAAACATACTGTTTCCTTAAATTCTTCAAATCCACAAACGAAAATACTGACTACAATAAACACAACCTAGATCATGATAAGACGAAATTTGCAGGTTTTCACACACCATCGACTCCATGAAGGCAAAAACTAAGCCAAAACAAGCATCCTCTTCAGCTGCTACTCTTAAATGGGATGGCTCGAATGATAACCTGATGGTAAAGTGCAGCAAGGGCAGCTCCAATGAAAGGTCCGACCCAGAAGATCCACTGAAGAAAGGCACATGTGACAAAAATGTTTATGTATGGACGCCAAAAATGTCATGAACAGGTAAGAAGATTGTCTGTGGAAGTTAATGAAGTAAACTTACGTGATCATCCCAAGCATGATCTTTGTTGTAAATGATGGCGGCGCCAAGGCTTCTGGCTGGGTTGATGCCAGTTCCGGTGATGGGGATGGTTGCCAAGTGAACCAAAAAGACGGCAAATCCAATTGGGAGTGGAGCCAAAATCTGTGAAATTTGGAAGATCAAAGGAGTCATCAATTTGGCATCCCACGTTAAGATTCAAGTTTTGGCATAAATTACTGATTTCTAGCCCAACTATGTACTAGAAGAAAAATCAAAGGCTACGCCTATCGTAAGGCTCCATAATATATCATGTAAAGCATCATACACTACGGAAAAACCTCGAAATTCATTTCCATCTTCCTGAATCACAAAAAAGACGTGCGCAGAAATTGATATTGCTCCTAAGTCCTAACCATGCCAAGACTATATGGACTTCCAGCATTGCAATCCTTTTTTCAATTAGAAAAGTATAACCAAATTCATGAGACATTCGAACACATTACAGATAAGGCACATGCCTTGTGTGTAAGAAAGGGCAATCATACAGAAAGCGAAAATAATACCAATAAACAAAATGCTATGAGTACAAAACAGGCAAGAAAAAATAAGATTGCAAAGAAATACTTACAGGGACATGTGAGTCTCTGGCATTTCTCTTGGCATCAGTAGCAGAAAAGACAGTGTAAACAAGAACAAAAGTGCCAATAATCTCAGCACCAAGTCCATCGCCCTTGGTGTAACCATGGGAAACAACATTAGCACCACCACCATTAGCCTTGTAAAAAGAAGGCTGGAAGCCCTTTACGACACCAGCACCACAGATTGCTCCGAGACATTGCATCACGATGTAAAAAATTGCTCTGGTTAGAGACAATTTTCTTGCTAGAAACAGACCAAATGTTACTGCAGGATTTATGTGTCCACCTGAAATCACCCATAAAAAATTCCAACATCAGTACATAAACAAAGTTCAATAATTTTCAAACAAGGGCATTAATCATTATCACAATAAAGAAATGTCAGCACAAAACCCTACATCCCATTAAATTAATAAGCTGCTAACACAAGGTGCAGATTTTGAAGAGAAGAGCAGGGTTTGAACTACATTACAAGACCACATTCAAGATTTAAAACCTGAAAAACAACAATGAATTCCAACCAAAAAAAAAAAAAAAAGGAAAGAAAGAAAGAAAATCCTCAACTAGTACATTTGTGGCTAGTTAGATATAGAAAATAAAATCTTGCTCATTATACTAGTCAAAACTCTAGAGTTACTTAAGCAACAGATTACCGAACACAAAAAGAAGCTACATAATTTACATCTTTCCAAGATCCCATGAAAATGAGGACCCAGATCTAGTAGTATTGCTTGGTATGTTCGAAGATAAAATCTTGTTCATTATACAGTTCACTTCCATCCAATACTCCATACTAAACACAGACTAAACTCTATATTTACTTGAGAACAGAATATAGAACACTAACAGAAGCTTCATACTTCATATTTTCCAAGATCCCATGAAAATGAAGACTTAAAATTAGTTTAGTAGTACATTCTTGGCATGTTTAGGAGTTAAAATCTTGCACACCAAACACAACGGACTCGAAATTTACTTAAGCAACAGAATATAGAACACACTAACACAGAGATATTGAGAGAGAGAGAGAGAGAGAGAGAGAGAGAGAGAGAGAGAGAGAGAAGGACCTGAGATGCCAGCAGTGCAGTAGACAAGGGCAAAAATCATGCCACCAAAGGCCCAAGCAATGCCCTGAATACCCACAGAAGCACACTTGCTGCCAGACCTGCTGACACCCATTACAGTCAAGATTGTGATATAAAGAAACAAGAAAGTAGCTATAAACTCAGCAATCCCAGCTCTCCAAAAGGACCATGACTGGAGTTCACCAGGCTCAAAAAGTGGAGCTGGAGGTGGCTCCTTGTAGTCCTTGCTCTGTGCTGAGGTACCCAATGGTTGCCTCTCTGTGAACTTGTTGGCTCCTAGCCTCACATCCTCCTCTTTACCCTCCATTTTTCTCTCTACAACTCTTGCTTTCTCTCTCTAGAACTCTCAGAAACGGCAAGAAAATTTGGTAAGAATAATGATTTTGTTAGTGGTAGAGTGATTTATATAGAGGGATATTGATAACTGGCTATTTTTGAAAGTTTTGGATTTTACGTCATGTATTCATTGACACCCTTCTACTTTTTTTCTTTTCTTTTTCATTTGTTTGAATTTTGAATTTTCATTTTAGGATTAAGGCACGATTTGTGTGGGCATAATAATAATAATAATAATAATAATAATAATAATAAATAAAGATTATTGTATATTTAAAATTAGACCGTTGTTAAAAATGAATTATTAAAAGCATGGTCATCGTAATGCATATACTAACTCATTTCATAGACATGTTAATACAAAGAGTATTGAATATATAGTGAATTACAAAACACCTAGAACATATGGACTCAAACTTTATTATAAGCAATGAACAAAAGGATCCATATTGTATTTTCCTGGCTTTGGTACTTGTAATATGGTAGTTTAGTCCTAATTTCTAATTGCAATTCCTATTCATGACATTTGTATTCTTGAATTCTTATTGAATTGATTTGTATTTCATAAATTAATGAACTATGAAAAATCTACGCAATGTTATAACTTAAAATTCATATTATATCTGAAAATCAAGAATTATGCTTTTGTATCTAAATTTTAAAGTACAAACTCGATCATAGTTAATTACTCATTTAACATTCTTATAAACATTTTGAAAATTTTATGGAACCATGACCTCTTTTTGTGTGTGTGTGTAATATGAACTTAACAAAGAGCAACGAAACTCCCAATTATTAAAAATGTCAAGGATAAAATGAAAATCTTGAAATTTTGTGGGAAGGAAATGTAGTATATCAGAAAATATGGGAGTGAAAGTAATAAATAAGTAGAAGTTTGGGGTAAACCAATTGAGAGGTTTCTGGAAAGTGCCAAAAAAGACAAATAGTAGCCAGTAGATTTGCTGTCTTTATCTTTTAGCAGGGCCACCTCCATTATTCTACATTTTTCTGCTTTTTAGCATTTTAAAATCAAGAGCATGTTTGGGAGTTATTTTTTCTCCCAAAAATTTGATTTTTTGATCGTTATTTTACTATTTCAATCGTCATATTTGACTTCTTCTCTCACAGGTGGATCCCACTTTTTCTCCAACAATCAAAAAATCAATTCTCAAAATCACTCTCAAACAGGCTCCAAATCAACAATTTTATAAAGAGATAATAGTGGATCCCAAAAGAGAACTAGTTATAGGGAAAGTTTTGAAATTAATATTTAATATTAATTAAAATTTAATTTTAATTATATTTATAAATCATATATGAATTTCTTGAGATCGTCATAGGTTGTCGTATTCTCCTACTCAATGTTTTGAAAAAAATTATAATAGAGAAAAATATAAAAACTTCGTAAGCGAATATTTATGTGAATCCAATCAACAAATAAATAAAGAAGACTCGGCAAGAATTGGATAAGGGTAAAGTGGTTGACTAGGGAAAAAATCGCTATTTTTGTTGCTCGAGCAAGCATTTGAAAAGTCCTATTCCAGAGTTCTTTATGTAATATCTAATAAAATAAGTAAAAGATATGAGTAGAATTATCACTCAATTGGATCAAGAATAAGATGAATGCATAGTGCTACACGTTATTTCTTCAATAATTTGTTCAATCCAACAAAGAAAACTGAGTAGAATCATCACAATATGTTTTATTTGCTTCTATTATTTAATCTTGATCAATCATGTTGATAGAATTTTTTATTATAATTGGAGATAAGTAACAAAAAGTAGTAGTAGTTATGAAAATAAGTTAAAAACAAAATGTGGTGGAAGTGGTCCTGGCGGTTTTCTCAGGACCGTTGAAAAAGGTTATTAGAATTTAGACCGTTAAAGAATACAAAAAAATAGACGTTACGGAATAGTAAAATGTCACGGGGTACAACTATGCAGCATGCTTCTAATGAAATTCTCTAGGATCACATTTGCCCCCTTAACTTTTCAATTTTAGTTCAATTTCATCTTTTTCTTTTATCATGACAACTCGCACTAATTCATGTCCCTGCTCATGTGCTGTGCACTCATGTCGCCCTGGGCCCCACAACAATCATGTGAACAATGGGCTTTTCCAAGGAAAAAAGAAAAAAAAGGTTAAACCTCAAGGTTGAGGGCCTCCCTCGCCCCGCCCCGCCCCACTTCTAGAGTTTTGTAAGGGAGGTAAATTACGATATGTGCTCCAACATTTCAGAAAACAAAAGTTGTATGTACACTGCGTCTAAAAGGAATCCAATTTCATGTTTCAGGAATCGAACCCCCACAATACGACCGTCAGCAAAGCGTAAAATAACCCCTCTTATCATTTGTATCACTGGACTATGCCCCGAAGATAGACTTTTCCAAGAATTGAGAAAAATAAACACCACATAATGCAGCGGCGCCACCACCACAAAGTTACACGTAAAAATATGTAAGCATAGCCGGCCAACCCTCTAATGATGATCACGTGGTTGCTAAACCAAGCAACTTAATTGCCATTTTTTTTGCCTGTATAATTGTGCGGTAGAGAGAAGTGTAGAGAGGCCCACAATCATTTTGTAGATGATAAGGACAAAACTGTGTTTCTATTTGTTGTTTGAGTAGCTTTTATAAACGATTTAAAGAAATGAACGGTAGATAAATGTGTAACAGTCTTACGCCCTTCAAAATATGTAAATAAAAATAATTTTACCGTTTAAAAACAGAGCCAAACTAGGCTTAAATTATTTTTTTTGCATTCCCTACACCAGTTTTTTGCTTTTCATAATCCTTATACATTCCTTGTAGCAATCACAAAGGTTTTTGCCTTCACTTGATAATCCATCAAAAACAGCCCCTAGATGCTTGTCTGCTTTTGCTTTGTCATGATTTCAACTCTTTGAATGTTGAAACATTCGGTAACTCCTAGGTTTACAATGAGAGACTCGAGTTTCCATGCATCGACTTCCACGACACAGCAAATATTCGTCCAGTTCAGTTTCGCCCTTTCATAAAGCACCATCGACAATCTAATAAAGAATCAAAATCTGGCTCAGCTAAAAAGAAAAAGGCTTACACCAGGCTCGTGTTCATAAGAGCCTCGGAGACTAGATGCAACATATAAGCAGGCTGTTTTCGATGAACTATTAAGTGGCAAATTTCATAATAGTCATATCGCGACACTCAAACCAATGAAAATGTACAGAACTACAGAATATACATACATGGAATTGTTCATATTCAAGCTTGGTACACTCATCTCGCAAATATAAGTGAATGACGCGGTTCATGGAAAAGCTTCGTCCGTTCCCAGACCTAACTAGAAAGGATGAGATAAGTATAACATCGACTACATACTAGAAGCATCTACAATCCAAGTAACACAAGGTTTATTATAATGACAGTTGCTTCTTCAGAAGCTAACAAACCGTAATAGTCAGTTTCGAAGTGCACTATAATGTTCAATGGTAGAAGCTCAAGATTTAGTTTTTCAACCTTTATCACACCACCAACTTATGCAAGAGGACTTTGGGTTGTTCCTTTTGAAGCATGATGACGGATCTATATATCTGCAAGTCCACCAATCACATCATAATTTTGTAACAGCGACTAAATCGTATTGGCATGTTCTGGTACAGTTTTCAGCAATTAATATTTACTCTACTAATTTCTAATAGCCGCAAGAAAATGTACAGTTCTCTATTCTAGTTCAGAAGTGTTAATATTCCTCACTAGTGCTTCTTCACAATCAACATTTAGGCAGGGATGATTGCATACATCAAATTATAAATGTCAAAAATGCACCCCACTAATAACTTTTTTACGTTTTATTTTGAGTATTCAGGTAAATATTTCATGTTTATCATGTACAAGTTCATTATATAAGTATTCAGGTAGCACCATAGCAGGAGAGTCATATATGTGCTATGTTCTTTTAGATAAATTACCAGACGTCAATGATTCCAAATCCCTATTTTACGACATTTTTTTGCATATCATCCTTTACTAGCTTCTGCATCGCACAAGGCTACAAACAGTATTCAATAAAGAGAAAAATAGGTCATAATAGTATAGCAGATGCGCATAATGGAATTATTTCTGTAGAATAAGACGAAACAGTGCTAGCTGCACAAGTATAATAGCATGAAAAATAATTAACATCTTATCAGCTTTTGACTCCAACATCAAGAAATTTCACTTACAGCAAAAGCTGCACTTAGAAATCAAAATCTTTGCAGGGTAAGCCGTGCTCTAGATGTGATGAAAAGTGTGTAAGTACAAATAAGCATATCCATCAACCATAGTTCAAATATTAAATATAAGTTTCAACAAGCAAATTAAGGTCAGATATATACTCAAAATTAGGAGAATTTCCATTGCCATCTGAAGGTGCCTGAAAGGATATTCAAGCATGAAAATAGATGCTAGCCTCTATAGAGTATATTTTCTTTACTGCACAGGTTTGTTGCTCATTAACAATTACAGTTTACAGTGAGAAGTCCCCTCTATTTCTCATCATTCGACTGCTTATTCGGCCACCTGCCACGCTGTAACTGTTGCCTCAGGTGTTCTTTCACTACTTAAATAATTATAGTCTAAATGATATCATTTTCTTCCCCATAAGTAGTCAAGAAGCTGAAAGGAGGAGACAGCAGCCTCTTTCCATTCCTAAAATCAAGAAATTACAAACCAAAGGAAAGACATTCTTCTCAATTAGCGAAAAGGGATCTCCGTCACGGACAACACAAGTCTTGGCTCATAATAAACTGTCAATACTACCTATACGGGAAGCTAAATCTTCTTCTCCAGATTTCTCAAGGTATTCGACTATATTTTGAAAATAAGGAGGCTTAAGCTGAATTCTTCTCTCAACCATCAGATTAGCAAGCTTTGCAGCTTCCACCAAATGGCTTTTTTCACAAAGTCCAGCCAATATGATCGAGTAAATTTCAGAATCAACAGCAGGAAAATGTCCAGACTTTTCAAGTGAATCAAACAAACCAAATCCATCTAGCACCCTTCCCTCCAAGACTATAGCTTTTATGATGGTACTCAAAACCAAACCATTAGGCTTCATCCTACTAGCTATCATCATCCTAAAAATGTTTTCTGCCTCTTTAGTTTTGCCAATTCGGTATAGTGACACAACAAGCAAACCATAGAACTTACCATGCTGTTCACTACCTCTACTAACTCTATCGATAATCTTACAAGCCTCCTCCAAACGCCCCTCTTTGCATAGCCCATCAAACAAAGCCGTAATTGTCACCCTATTAGGTTGAAGACCTGAATCCTCCATTCGGTCCAAGACCCCTAACGCTTCCATCACTTTCCCTTTCTCAAGAAAACCCTTTATCACTGCCGAATAAGTTACAACATTTGGCCTACATTCCTCTTCTTCTTTTTCCATCTTCCCTAGAAACTCCAATGCCTTCTCCAAACTCTCATGCTTACAAATCCCATCAAGAAGTGTCGAATAAACAACTGTATTCGGCACACACCCATGCCCCTTCATAGACTTAATCAATTGGCATGCATCTTCCAACCTCCCTACATCACAAAACCCCTTAATCATCGAAACATAAGTGATCATATCAGGATAAAGATCAATCAGACCCATCTCTTTCATCAACCCCAGTGCTTCATCTAATCTACCCTTTTCCACTACCAACCTAATTACCACATTGTAAGCCACAGTGTCAGGCCTACAATTAAATTCCTTCATTTTCCTCAACACCCACAAGCCCAACTTATCATCTTTAGCTTCCCTACACAAATTCAGAACAACCTTTAACATCTTGACACTAACAACACTATTTTCTGCCCGATAGGCCGATATAGCATCAACAACAATGCTCGGATTATTCTTAAGTCTGAGCAATTTATAGGCTTTGCTATACACGTATGAGCTATGCCTATAGGTAGGATGAAGTCCAGACCAAATAAAAAATCTGAGACCCAATTGGGGTTCATTAACAGCGCACCTTCTTAACACTTCAATTATGCATGGAGCATCCAGCTTTGCTTTCACAGATTCAAGAACCTTTTCTGTGTTGGACCTATTTTCCAGCAAATTGGTCAAGAACTTTTCGGCTGACGGTGAAGATGTGGTGAAAAGACAGAGTTTTGCGAACGAAAAATCAAGGGGTTTGTGTGGGATTGGTGAGAAAAGGTAACGAGACACGGAGGAGAGGAATGACATTGATTTTTATTACTTACTAGCAGCCAAAAAAGATTAAAGCTTTATGGGTGGAGTCGTGCTCTGCGAGGGAATCGATTGCGGCGTCGTCAAGGAATTGGAGAAAGGGTGGAGTAGGAGCGGGGAACTGAGGGAAGTGGTGGTGATGGTGGATTTGAGGATTCAGCGGCGCATGGCGGTGGCCAGGATCTTCGGGGGTGGAGGGGATTTCTACGATAATTCTCCTTTGAAATAATTATACCTTCGGTCTCCTATCTATTAATTTAGTAACAAATTGATCCAAACTTTTTTATTTATGGTAGTATTGCGCTTTGATCCCCCATTTATTCATTTAGTAGCAAACTGATCTCAACTTTTTTATTGAATAAAGAAGCATTGAATGGGAGGCATCGATTAATCTTTTTTCGGAACTTGTTTTCCACTGTTGGGTTAGAAACTTGTTGGTCAAAGAAAATGAAAGGCCTCAAACTCAAGTCGTATGACGCAAATATAAAATACTATTCCTCTGAGAAGGGTGTGATATTGTCACCTATTAGACCAGACCATGAAACTGCATCTCTACTTACCTGGTCCATGCATATCGCTTCTCAAAAGGAGATTGCTTGGCTACCTTAGTCTCATTTTTAAGATGGGGAGAGAATGTTCTTATCTCTATTATTAATTCCAAAATTCATCGTTACAAGTGTTTCGGTCAATACCCATTTATAACATTGAAGTCCACAACACATTGGTTTTCAATTTTCTTTGGCAAGTTGATCTCAACTTTCTATTGACATTTAAGCCTACAACAAATTGGTTTTAATTTATAGAAAATTCCTTCATCTAAGAATATTTCATAGATGAACGCATCTTGTACGAATTAAACCCTAGAAAAGACACTTTCATGCAACCTGAAGTAGATGAATGAGTTATTGCTTTTAAATTTAGTTACAATAATAAAGTATGAGAAATTTCAAAAACAAAAGTACCTGACAAGTTCACGTTATATGACATGCACAGGACGATTATCTAGTTAAGTAACCCTGGGCGGAGCCTAAAATTTAGTTTGGTGGAACATAATATCTTTAATATAAAGTTTAAAATAATATCATAACATACTCCCGCTCTTTTTCTTAGTATGTAGCTCTTAATTTATATTTGGACAATTCTCGGAAGAGTACTTGATCATTAATAAGTAATAGATCTAGCAAGTTAAAAATATCGTCCCACATAAAATAAACTTTAAATTGAACCGTATCAATTCGTAATCAAATTCAAGTGCATGTGACACAAAGTAAATTTATTTTAGTTATATCTAAATTGTCGTACTAATTAATTAAGATGATTTTAAAACTAAGTATGATATATATGAGTTGGAATTCTGAATCCATCTATTATTATTCTAATTCGAACTATCAACTATTTTATTCAGCTTCATTCATAAATTTTTGATATTCAGTAATCTTACTGTATTACTTTATTTTTCAAGTTAAGTTAATTCTATTCTGGACACAAACCGATCATGTTCCAAGTCTAAATTCATATGAATAGAACTTATTCAATTACTCGATTATTTCGATAGTACGAAGTTGGACTAATTTGGAAACATTGGGCCCTTGTACCTCGAAGGGCCTTAAGGAAGTGGAGGAATCTTGGAATCTGATTATGGTGATTGCACGCTTGATATATGTTATTCTTAATCTCTATTACCCGTGTGTTAGTTATACAGTTTTCTACTTATTGTGTGTCTCACAACATTACGACAATCAAATAGTTACTTAATTGATGATCAAGCAATTAAAAAAATTAATGGGTATGCATACTTAATCAAGTAACACAAGATTTACTAAATTACTTATCTTTGAATTAAAAATAAATAAATAAAGGATTCATCTTCATCCAACACAAAAAGAAATCTAACCTAACATGATTCTAATGATAAAATAACAAGAAAATTGGAAAAACATCACCCGTAATGAATAAATATAAGAAACATATTCGAAATCTAATTCTTGTTTTTAATCTTCAATTCCAACATTTGATTTTTCAACTTCTTGATTTTTTTTTTAATTCAACCAACGTGCTAGATTTGTTACTCTCTCCAACTAACATTGAATTTGACCCTCATCTCTTAATAGATTTTATGATATGATGTGATTTGAGAGGGGGGAGGGAGGGAGAGAGAGAGAGAGAGATCCTCAATGCTGCATTGCACTCGTCAACTTGCTTCTTTTTTGATTGGTTACTAATCAAGTCTTCAACTATCCTTAAGCCCTCGTCTGGCTTCCATTATTTCAAAATTTAATGGGTGAAATAGTATTTTTTTTTTCTAGAATGGATGTTTGAAAAAGAAGATTTTTTTCGATTTATGTGAAATATTATTTTATTGAAGATTGTGTAGTTGAAAATAAGATAGAAAAATAAAAATTAATTTAATGGGGGCTAAACAGGGGCTAAATTGACAATTTAACCAATCAGGTCTTCTTCAACTTTCCTTAAATTGACAATGGAGATTAATTTTATTTTATGCTTAGATGCATTTTTCCAGATTATTCATTGTAGATATTTACAAGAATTCTTTTAGCAATTTTATTCGTAAACCCTTTTGGACAATTATTACAATTCTTACATGGGACATCTAGTTAAAAAGGATAAAGTTGTGAGTAAAGAAAAACATTATAGAACTTGTACCCAAGTTGATGTGGTAACGTGTGATTGAATTTATTTATTTATTTGTGTTTTTCCCCCATCTTCCAAGAATGCAGTGCTATGTGTTGTTTGTAAAGATTTTCTATCAAAAAATTATGTACTTCTAACATTATTGAGTTATAAATTCTCTCCTTTTTTATTCCAAAATGCCCCTAACAAATCATTCAATCAAATTTCCTATAATTGACTTTTTGTTGTCTCGGGTATTTATTTTAGCGATATAACGGTTGTATAGATTGTAAATGAACAAAATTTTAACCTGTTGGAACGTAGTCGAAACATTATTATTGTAAGCAAAAGTTCCAACCCGCAGTAGCGTAATTAGAACACAATGTAAAGCACACAAAGTATATGACTAAAACAACCACCCAAAACCAAAATGAAATAAGGAGTAGAAAAAGAAATCCAAGGCGAGTATAACTCTTTTTTTAAGATAAATTGTCCCACTACGGTGCTCAACGGATACACACTTGTGATAGCAGCACTTCAAACCATAAGAACGGCAAAACTTCGACAAAATTTTTCCTCTACAAAGGAATATTATGAGAATGAGAGAAAGATGAATTGTGAGCTGCGTCCAGAGGGTCCTATTTATAGATGTAGAAAGGGTGCAAATGAAGTAATGTGGGCCAAAACTTGCATCATTTCGAAAAAATGCTACATTTCATTTCAAAACCTGCATCATTTCAAAAAATTGCAACACTTCATTTCTTTTAATTTTGGACCATAATTTCTCATTCATTCGGAATTGATTTCAAGATTTCAAATATACCACGATGATCTACTCAAAAAAGTGGAATAAGTTGGCCTATTTACTTTTGTAATTTGACCATCGAATCAAATCCGAATATTTGACCTAAGTTGACATGAAGTCACACATTTTCATTTTTTCAGTTTTACACCTAACCAATTTTCGGTTATTTTTTTGAACCAATTCCAACAATCCGTCACATGAATGGAAATTCGAGTATGTACATGTAATGCTATGATATGATGCATTGTAGAGAGAGAGAGAGCGAAAAGCCATTGCATGGAGAGATGGTAGCTTCTGGCCTTGAACCTCCCATAGTGAAATACCATCGGATTTACTCGGCTAAGTGGTGAACGTGATGTCTTGAACCATACAGCCTTTAGTGTAAGCCAAGACAATGATACTTACACAGATGTCTTTCCTATTTCGTACTTGTTTCTCATGACTTGGTTCATTTTGGCCCTGAACCCATGTCGATTTCATAAGTGTTTAAAGAATTCTAGCCTAGAATAATTCTTATTGAAATGGCCCCACTTCACACTTACATAGGTGACCTCCTATTAAGAGTATTCTACCATATTGTACTTGACTTTAATCAAGATATAGTAATCATTAAAAGATTAACTTAATATTTAACCACTCTGCAGAAAGCACTTTCGTATCATAGGAATAAATTAGGAACTTTGATTTCCTAAATGTTTCATGGAATCCTCACAACTTAGTTGTCTCTTTGAACCAAGATCTTGAGATCTCTAGTCAACAAGGTAGGTTACCATTGCAAAGACTCTTATGTAGTAGATTTTAATCCCATTCCTTTCGATAGGCAACTTACTTGATCTCTAGGCAAACCATTCGTAAGTAGATCTGCAACGTTCTCCTTTGATTTCACATAATCTATGGAGATAATGTCATTTGAGATCAGTTGCTTAATGATGTTATGTCTATGACATATATGTCTAGACTCACCATTGTACATGCTGCTTTTTGCCGTTCCAATCACCGATTGACTATCAAAATGTATACTAATTGGAGGTACCGGCTTAAGCCAACATGGAATGTCTTCTAGGAAATTACGAAGCCATTTTGCTGCTTCTCCAACTTTATCCAAAGCAATAAACTCGAATTTCATAGTTGATTGAGTTATACACGTTTGCTTTGTTGATTTTCATGAGACAGAAGCTCCAACTAGGGTAAACAATAGCCGCTAGTGGACTTGGAATCTTTCATATCGGATATCCAATTTGCATCACAATATCCTTCCAATACTGCAGGATATTTCGTGAAGTGTGATTCATGGTTTAAGGTATGTTTCAAATACCTAAGTACCCTTATCAAAGCCTTCAAATGATCATGGCTTAGATTACTCGTGAATCTACTAAGTTTATTCACCACAAAGGCAATGTTTGATCGAGTACAATTCTTAATGTACATTAGACTGTTTATCGCTTGTGAATGCCTTAGTTGTGACACGCACTTTCCCTCATTTTTGACTAAGTGCAAACTTGGCTCAATAAGGGTTTGTGAAGGACCTTTGTCGAATACTTCGTATTTCTTAAGTACTTTCTCAATGTAATGTGATCGAGAAAGTGTAAGTCCTTCCGATGTTTTAGTGATTTTAATTTCAAAAATCACATCTGCTACACCCATGTCTTTCATATCGAAGTGCTTCGTTAACATTCTCTTGGTGTTGAGTAGCGCTTTGTGACTATTGCCCATTATCAACGTATCGTCTACGTAAAGACATACAATTACATAGACATTTGGTGTATTTTTCACAATATACACACTTGTCACATTCATTTATTTTGAATCCGTTTGACAACACCGTTTTGTCAAACTTTTGGTGCCACTATTTCGAGCTTGTTTTAATTCATATAAGGATTTAACGAGTTTACAAACTTTGTTCTTTTGGTTAGGAGAAACGAACCCTTCAAGTTGCTCCATGTATTCTTCCTCTTCTAACTCACCATTTAGGAATGTCGGTTTAACATCTATTTGATGAATCTCAAGGTTATGTATTATCACAATTGTAAGTAGTAACCTTATAGACACGATTCTAGTTACGGGTGAGTATGTATCAAAGAAGTCAAATCATTCTTTTTTTCTATACCTTTTGGCAACCAACCCAGCCTTATACTTGTCAATGAATCCATCTGGCTTCAACTTTTTCTTGAATAGCCATTTGCATCCCAAAGGCTTATTCCTGAGAGGTAAATCAATCAACTCTCATGTGTGATTTTGCATTATGAAATCAATCTTGCTATTGATAGCTTCCTTCCAATGCGGTGCTTCCTGAGTTGATATAGCTTCTTCAAAAGTCTTCGGGTCATTTTCTACCATGTAGATTAGAAATTCTAGACTAAATGATGTGGACGTTCTAACTCATTTACTACACCTTGGTTCTTCCTCATCTCTTATTCGAACTTTCAATTTCCTTATCTCTGCAAGGAAATATATTTTCAAAGAATGTTATATTCCTTGATTCAATTATTGTACCCTCGTGTATGTCTTGAATTTTGGACTTGTGTACAAGGAAACGATATGCACTACTTGTTTAGGCTTGTTTCGGCGTATCCAATAAATATGCAATAAATCATTTTAGGTTCGATTTTTACTTGTTTTGGCTTAGGAACTTCAACCTTTGCCAAGCACCCCCACACTTTTAAGTGTTGATAGGACGAAGGATGACCTTTTTATAACTCAATGGAGTCTCTTTCACTTTCTTACTAGGTATCCTATTAACAAGTTCCGAGGTAAACCCGAACTTATCAACATTGCATCCATCATTTCTTTAAGCGTTCTATTTTTTCATTCTGCAATGTCATTCGATTGAGGAGAGTAGGGTGCCGCTGTTTGATGAATGATTCCATGTTCGGAACAGAATTCTTCAAATGGTGCCCCATATTCACCTCCTCCATCACTTCGAATATTTTTAATTCGTTTGTTAAGTTGCATTTCAACTTCAACCTTGTATAATTTGAAGGCATCCAACGCTTTGTCTTTACTTTTTAAAAGAAAAACATAGCAATACATTGTACAATTGTCAATGAAAGTTACAAAGTACTTCTTACCGCCTCTAGTTTGTACGAATTTCAAATCGCATATGTCACTGTGGATTAGTTCTAGAGTTATCGTGTTCTGTTGTATCGAATGGAACGGTGTTTTAGTCATTTTTGCTTCAACACATACTTCACATTTGTGATCAGAATCGATTTTAAGCTCCGAAATTAAACTTTGATAAGTTTGCACATTGATTTATAATTCACGTGTCCTAATCGATCATGCCATAAACAAGATAACTCAAGCAAGTAAACAGAATTTGCAATTTTATTTATAATGCCTTTCTTTGGTACAATAGTTAGAACATTTAACTTGAACATTTCATCACACATATAATATTTTCCTACAAACATCTCATTCTTGGATAACACAAACTTATCGGACACAAATACAAGTTTAAAACCATTTTTACTAAGTAGAGACCCGGATACTAAACTCTTGCGTATGTCCGACACATGTAGGATGTTGTTGACGACAAGCTCTTTCTCGGATGTCATCTTCAATGCGACTTTACCTTGTCATTTGATGTTGCAGCATTTTCCATGAAAAGTTGTTCCCCATTCCATTCTTGATAGTTTGAGAACATTCCCTTATCGGCACATACATGGCGGGTAGCACCGGTGTCAACTCATAATTCCCTTGTGTTGCCAATCATATTGCACTCGGACACAACCGTAGATAGGCTCATCTCTTGTATTCCTTTGATAGGGTGTCCTTCTCAACCACGTGGGCTTGTGCATTTTTTTTTGTTTTCGACATTCGCTTGAGCGATGTTCGACCTTCTCACAATTATAGTAGTTTCCTTTGAACTTTTTGGCTTTCTTGGAGTTATTCTACGCGGTGCATCACCGAAGATCTTTCGCTTCTTGTTGACCTTTGGCTTGATTTCAATGAAGTTTGCTCCAAGTTGAACAATAGTCTTCTTCTCAGTCTTCCTATTGTCTTCCTCAATCCTCAAGCGGACGATCAACTCTTACAAGTTCATCTCTTTACGTTTGTGCTTGAGATAATTTTTGAAATTTCTCCACAAAGGAGGGAGCTTTTCGATGATAGCTACAACTTGGAATGACTCACTTAATTCCATTTTTTCAGCATGGATGTCATGCAATAAGACTTGGATCTCTTGGACTTGGCTTATCATTGTTTTTGAATCTACCATTTTGCAATCTAAAAACTTGCCAACGATGAACTTTTTAGTTCCGACATCCTTGGTCTTGTACTTCTTTTTCAATGAATCCATATATCCTTAGCCGAGTCTTTCGAACTTTACACACCATATAGTGTGTTATCCAATCCATTAAGGATGTAGTTTTTGCATAGAAAGTCAGGGAGCTTCAATGCATCTAAAGCAATGATTGACTCCCAATTGTTTTCTCCTTCTTGTACAACGGGAGCGATTTCCTTAAGAAACTTAACTAGATTTAGCATATTGAGATAAAATAACATCTTTTGTTGTCATCTCTTAAAGTCTACGCCATCGAACTTTTTCGATTTCTCCCCATGTGGGATTGACGTAATTTGAATTGCTATCGCCATTGGAGTAGCCATAATATTTGCTCTAGGCGGGACCAAATTTTCCATTCCGGTTTGACTTGAATTAGTCTCAACGGAAGTTATTTCTATTACACAACAAAAGTTTAGCATAGTAACAACGAGAAAAGTGAATAGTGCACAAAGACTACTCCAAAGTAGAGTGCTTAAAATAACAATAACCGCAGACGTACAAAATTTGTCTTAATTTTGTTGTCTCGAGTATTTATTTTAGCGGTATAACGATTGTATATGTTGTAAATGAACAAGATTTCAACCCACAGGAGCGTAGTCAAAACACTATTATTGTAAGCAAAAGTTCCAATCTGTAGGGGCATAATTAGAACATAACGTAAGGACACAAAGTATATGATTAAAATGACCACACAAAACCAAAATGAAATAAGAAGTAGAAAATGAAATTTGAGGCGAGTATAACTCTTTCCTTAAGACAAATTGCCTCGTTACGGTGTTCACGATTGAATGACAAATGTCTTTCAAGATATAACGGATACACACTTGTGGTAGCAGCACTTCAAACTACAAGAACGATGAAATTTCGACGGAATTTTTCCTCTACAAAGGAATGTTATGAGAATGAGAGAAAGATGAATTGCAAGAGAAGAATGGACGCTTAACGCAATGGTGTATTTAAAATCACGTCCATAGGGTCCTATTTATAGATGTAGAAATGGTAAAAATCAAGTAGTGTGAGCCAAAACCTGCATCCTTTTGAAAAGTTGCAACATTTTATTTCAAAACTTGCATCCTTTCGAAAAGTTGTAACACTTCATTTCTTTCAACTTTGGACCGCAATTTCTTATTCATCCAGAATTGGTTTCAAGATTTCAAATATACCATGACGATCTACTCAAAGGGTAAAATAAATTGGTCTATTTACTTTTTGAAATTTGACCATCGGATCAAGTCCGAATATTTGGTCGAAATTGATACGAAGTTACACCTTTTCATTTTTCCAATTTTACACTTTACCAATTTTCAGTTATTTTTTTGAACCAATTCCAACACTTTCTCCACGATATTTTTCCATGTTTCTAAAATCTTTCACAAGTCTATTCAAATTTTCTGACAAATATGTAAGTAGACCCATCTATATATTGTTAACTAGCTTTAGTTTCCATTGTGTCCAGACCTTTTGGCCCCCCTATTCGTTTCTTACACTCAAAGTATGTTCCTCGTACATTTTTTAACTCATTATTGAGTGCAAGTGTCGACTGCATTTAGAGGCCTTCGATGTCAAATATGGAGTGTAATATACGATACCATATTTTCAAGTGTAAATATTCACATACATCTCTAACTCCTATACTAAAATTTAAATATGCCACGAAAAATAAATATATAAATAGAATACAATGCTACAAAGTCTATTTTATTAAAAGGCTTGATAATCAACAAAGAAATTATGTATATGAAACGTTAACTTAAATGAAAAATTTTAATAATTATTTGTTCCATTTAAATGAATCCAAAATTTTAAAAGAGGATTGTGAATACTAAAAGAGTTGAGCTTACGAGTCATTGTCTTCCCCATCGTGAGGTATATAGCAACAATGGACTAAAATACACCTCATTAGATAAAGTAAAACAATACGATAAAACTAAGCCCATGGGTGATTTCCATACTTTTAAAACTTTTTTTTCCCTACATTTTCATTTTTAATAAAACATTCACAAATAAAATATTTTGTATGTAAATTCAATTTTTTTTCTACTCCTTAACTACTTATTCTCTTGTGCTTTCTTGTAGTTCTGCTTCTTGCTCTCAAAATGAAGAAAGACTGGTCAAAAATGGCCGGTTGCTTCCAACTCTCCCTTCCCCCACCACATTGGGCTAGGCCTCGCCATATTTCATATTCTCCGCCGATCTTAGGTCTTATTTTAACTTTAGAGCACCACCAGAATGATGACACAATTCAAAGCTCTTTTTCTTGGAAAGAATGGCCACCAAACATGACCAAAACTTTTTAAGTTAATTCAATTTCAATTTTTATTTTTAGTATTACGATAATAATATTTAATATTATAAAATTACGAGTATGTATATATATATATATATATATACACATATACACCCCACGTCCCTAAAATAGGAAAAATTTGAGAAAATGAAAGGAGAAATGTAGTTTCAATTTATAACAATATAATGGTAACATAAAATCATATTTGACTTTTAGGGGAACAAAAAACTTGGAAGAAAAATTAATTAAGGACAACATTGCTACCTTCACCAAAATTGATAGAAAAGTGTGTTTCATGCAAAATCAAGGACCAAGTGTGCCAAAACTACAAAGGTTTGGAACCATTTGCGCCAAGATTTTAAAGTTAAAACCAAAAATGCAAGATGGGCTACATCAATTTGCTTGTCTCTTCTTAGCAAACCGCTGCAGAGATCTAGGCAGTTGATTTTCCTCTTCTATGTTCTTCCTCTTCTTTTTCGATAACCCTTCCCCTTTAGCTTGTTGTTCCAAGAAAGGCTTCTTAGCCTTCTCTACTGCTTCTTTCTTCTTCCTTGCCACCTTGCTTGGCTTACTCCTACCTTTCGTTTTCTTCTTGAAAGAAATACTTTTTGCAGCTTCGACAGCATCCTCCAATTCGGCCTCTATCTCCTGTTTAGCGAGCTTTTCTCTCTTTCTTGTAGGTTTCACAGAACCAATCTTGGTTGGGTTCAACATGATAGTCTCAGGTGGGAGTTTGTCAAGAAGAGAATGCACTTCCCTCTCTTTCCTCTGTTTAGAAGTTTCAAATGGATTCGCCACCCAAGAGTCAAAGTTGGGTTCTCCGGATCCAGGAATCAAGATAGATGACCAACCCATGGAGTGCCCGATGCCCAAAACATCTTCATAGGGTCTGAACGCCAACTTTTGAATTTGGTAACCTTTGGCAATGGAATGGCTCATATAGCGGCTGTAATTATGTGATCCTGAGAAATCTCTCAATATCTGTACAAAAGATCCAGAGGCAGTAGCGAGCAAACCTTTCTGACTGAAATTCATCGTCTTGGTATGTCCTGGTAAAGTTTGCAGAACCTCAAACTTCCTTAAGTCCCAAATCTTTATCTTCCTCTCCATACCAGCCGTTGCCATGAGATGGCCATTGGAATGAAATGCCAAAGCCGTAACAGGGCCATGGTGACACAACATCTTGACAAGAGGAGCAGAACTGGTTGGCTTCCACATGCTTACTGTGCCACCAGAATGGCCAACAGCAACTACACTATTGAAGGGATTTACCTGCAATACATCGGACCGACCTAGACCAGTTCGGAAATTGCCTATCATCTCCCCTGTCGTGACATCTTGATAATGGAGCTGCCCAAATTTGTTTATCGATGCTAATAAGAAATGTTTGCTCAAAAACTGAAGCTTCAGTGCAGCACCATGTTCCTGAAAGAAAGAAAAGAGAATTCAAGTACATTTAATGCTAATGGACTGAATACACGTTTGAGTCTCCAAGAGAAGACCAAGTGCACACAAATAGACAAAATTAATCCTTATAGCACAAAATTCCCTCGGCCTCTATCTCCTGTTTAGCGAGCTTTTCTCTCTTTCTTGTAGGTTTCACAGAACCAATCTTGGTTGGGTTCAACATGATAGTCTCAGGTGGGAGTTTGTCAAGAAGAGAATGCACTTCCCTCTCTTTCCTCTGTTTAGAAGTTTCAAATGGATTCGCCACCCAAGAGTCAAAGTTGGGTTCTCCGGATCCAGGAATCAAGATAGATGACCAACCCATGGAGTGCCCGATGCCCAAAACATCTTCATAGGGTCTGAACGCCAACTTTTGAATTTGGTAACCTTTGGCAATGGAATGGCTCATATAGCGGCTGTAATTATGTGATCCTGAGAAATCTCTCAATATCTGTACAAAAGATCCAGAGGCAGTAGCGAGCAAACCTTTCTGACTGAAATTCATCGTCTTGGTATGTCCTGGTAAAGTTTGCAGAACCTCAAACTTCCTTAAGTCCCAAATCTTTATCTTCCTCTCCATACCAGCCGTTGCCATGAGATGGCCATTGGAATGAAATGCCAAAGCCGTAACAGGGCCATGGTGACACAACATCTTGACAAGAGGAGCAGAACTGGTTGGCTTCCACATGCTTACTGTGCCACCAGAATGGCCAACAGCAACTACACTATTGAAGGGATTTACCTGCAATACATCGGACCGACCTAGACCAGTTCGGAAATTGCCTATCATCTCCCCTGTTGTGACATCTTGATAATGGAGCTGCCCAAACTTGTTTATCGATGCTAATAGGAAATGTTTGCTCAAAAACTGAAGCTTCAGTGCAGCACCATGTTCCTGAAAGAGAGAAAAGAGAACTCAAGTACATTTAATGCTAATGGACTGAATTCACGTTTGAGTCTCCTGGAGAAAACCAAGTGCACACAAATAGACAAAATTAATCCTTATAGCACAAAATTCCCCCCAAATGAAACGTCATAGTTTTATTTCTTCCTATTACAAAAAATGGTTGTCCCTCGTATTTCTGTAAACAAGTTCATCTACTAAATTGCTATATACTGTAATGCTATTCTGGACAACTTTTTCTAATTTATATCAAGCAAGAACATACAATAAACAGAAACTTCCAGGAATACAAAAAGAGAAAACAGACACGAGTAAAAAACCCTGAATACTGTAAGGAACGGTCTTCAGCATGGTAAACGAATCAAGGCAGTATCACAAAATGAAAACCTTATACAAGCAACAATAGGACAAATTACTAACCTTCAGGCAATGCAGTTCAGTACCATTGCGGTCATATATATACGTGTACCTGTTACATTTAAGTAAACATTTTCAGTTAAGCATGGAGATTGATATGTATGTAAGTGTACGTAAACATATTCAGTTAAGCACAGAGAATGTTAATTATATATCATTAATAATACGCTGCAGAATATTACAATTTTGAGCATTTCCTTGAACGATAGTCAATGTAATTAAAGTAGACATTAGAGCTTCTCAGAAAAAGAAGTTATTTCAGTGTTATAGAATCACATGCTTCATATTAAGGAAAAAGAAAAGAAACAAGCAGATAACTAAATGAGATTGGAAACTGGAAAACGATTGCAAAGTACTATGCTAAAGATTCGGCTCCATAAGATAGGTAACATAGTTCAAAAATTGATAAGGTAGTTCGGACGTACACGGCAAAAAGATGACCGAAGTCTCCATTTTAACGTGGTCCATCGATCTCTCCAAATTAGGAATTGCAAACACCCAAAACTAATGATCTGCCCAACACACCAGAAATGTATGCAAGGCATGATACATAGATAAACCATCACATGGATGAGGAAGCGTGCAGGAAGCAAATGGAAAAGGTTTCCACCTCATCATCACTGATTTTACAAGAGGACTAAGAAAAAGGTCGGAGCAACAGAAGTCTTGACAACAAATTGTTTGTTGTGGTGAAAATGAATAATTGTTCTTAATTATAGTCATTTATATTTCATCTATAACTGAAAGGACAAGAAACCTTACTTCTTCTGGGCAGCAGCAAAAAACATCTCGTTGTGCAGGAACACCACATCATGCACAGTTTCCCTAACCTAACAGAACTAGTATTAGTTATTAGTCTGCAAAATCCTAAAGAAAATTTCTCAATACGATCAAAGAAATAGTTAGAAAGTCAAATGACCAACATATCTAAACAAGAATGCATCTATGAAAAAATTCAAATAGAGCATGTAAAAAACACTCCAATGAGAAACAAACTTCCAATCTAGCAATATCCTGAGTACTCGATAAAAAATGTGAACATGCTAGCTTATTATAGCTCATCAGCAAATTCCATTGGCATGTTATTTTATGATATGGCCATGATTATAATTTGATGTGATGGTTTAAACCCCAACTAAAAAGAGAATCTCATGAGAACATAAATTAATTCGTCCGTTAAATAATCTATGCATGTCTATATGAGGCGAGAGGCCCTCAGCTTCATTATTATTCTTTTGAGACATTTAGCCTATGACTGACTCGTGTTTATAAACTGTTTATCTCAAACAACTTTTCCACACGTTTGAAGGGACCTACAAATACAACCCTCTTATCCACATTCATTTTTATCTATTTATAATTTAAACCTTTTATAAACACTTCCCAAACATAATTTTAGAAAAAAAAACTTGGGTTTTAATCACCGAGACGAGAAAATAAAGAAGGCTTCATTTGGGATTCCCTTAACCCAGTAATACAAGAAAAGAAAATTCATTCTATAATTTTATGCAAAACCTTAAAAGACACCATTCCAGCATTAATTGTAGTTTAACAATTCCCCCACCCCAAAACAGAAGGGAGCAGGGGTATCGCACAAAACAGAACAAGAATCGATTCTGCATGCAGATGATTCAAATGGACAAGATACCTGAAATTCTTTAATAAGGTTCATATTTTTCATGTCTAGAATGGCCACATGACCCTTTCGTCCAGCTACTGTCATATACCGACCGCTAGGGGTGAAATCCAGGGAGTATGGACCAAGATCTGAAAAGGCAAAGTATTAACTAATAGGGGGAAAAAGTCGAACTAAGCCCCTGTTTGATGGCCATTATAAAGAGAAATTGGGGGAAATGATGCTTTGAATAGTGATTTTTTGGAGAACATGTAGTTAAAAAGTCGAAAAAGATTTGGATTTATGAACAAAATATTTTATTATATGAATGTGCGGTTGAAAATAAGTCTGAGAGAAAAAGAATTTAGAAATAAAGAGAGTCAAACAGGAGCTAAAATTGCAAGTTTGGTCATCAACGTATAATAGCATAAAAATCTTCCGACTGCAGACTGGTCAGAACATAATTTACTCACTGCATCATAAAACAAGCAGAAGCAATAAGAATGAGGTCTCAACCTGGCAAGATAATATCATATTGGTTTCTTGAACCCAAGATGTCCACTTCACGAGCGATTGCTTCCTGCTTAATGTTCCACGTTCTCTCAATACCTTCTGCTTCCAAATAACCCCCTTCACTGGGCATGAGCCACTAACGGGGGGAAGGGTACTTTAGAACATCATGAATCCGAATTGAAGTCATATGACAATACCTTCAAAATTCATTGCTAAGGAAAAAAGTACAGAAGATATGGAAACGGGCAACCTCAGTGCAAATTGCACGACACAAAATTATGTTGGGGTATTAAAAGAAATCACCTTCTCAGCCTTCGCAGCAGCTTTTGCAGATTTTCCATACAAATCTTCCCTCACAGCTAGCTGGCCCTTTAATTTTTTATCTTGTAAAACCTTTAAAAAAAGAACTAAGAATTTAAAAAATGGGCAAAAATCATTCAACCAAAAAAGACAAGTAAAAACATCACCAATGCTTTCGTACCTCTAAATTAGCAGCTTCACCTCTCAGATACTTCATTACATTCATATCTTCTTCTTCGGAAATGCCCTGCAAAACAAAACCATTTCAAAGCAAATCCATTTTAAATTGTTGTTAGGATATTCAAAAACCAACAGTTATAGGCCATTGTTTGGTGGGGATTAAAATCTTGATTCTAATCTAAATCAAAGTCAACCGTTAATTTCATCCACATATTTTATGAGAACCATAACTTTTCAGTCATATATTTCATAAATTTTTATCAAAATCTACCAAAAGTCTGATTTTCCCACCAAACAAGGGAATAAACAATTTTTCATTATTTTATCATTTGTCCAATGTTGTGGGAGTTTTTTTTTGGTTCTTTTACCTTTTCTACAAGGGGCACAGGATTTACATCGTTTGCTATCTTCACCCCCATCTTTTTCACTTTATACCAATTAAACCGCTAAATTCAAGCTGTAAAGAAAAAGAAAGGGAAATGTTATCATATAAAAGAAATACAGAACACATAAACAAAAGAAAACTATGCTGTTAATAACAGAAACAAATAAAATTTATAACAGGTAAATAAAGGATTGTTAAGAAAGAATAATGATTAGAAATCATTGGAGGGTGAGTAGGGGCCATGAGATTGAACAAAAGAAAGAATAGAGACGGTTAAAAACTTAAATCCTAGTTTTTCTGTTATGTTTAACTTTTAAGGATTTAACCAATGCAGGGTTCGGATTGTGGGATGACAACGTAGTCAGGTTCTAATTCTGTTCAGTCTGGTTCTGTATCTGTATTTCAACAAAATGCAGTCTCCAAGGTTACTGAGCAGTGAGCACCAGTTAATGAGTTCCACAGTCACTAATTAATTCCCATTGGGCAAAGCCTTAGCCACAATTAAGTTAATTGTATAAAACTTTTACTGGAAAAGTAAACAAAAAAATAGCATTGCATTGTTTCAATACATATTCATCAAGTTCATTAAATCAGAAAATCTCCGATGTCAGAACTTGGTTTCAACTGAAGGCCATACATAGTAGCTAGAAGAACAGCTTGAAGATTACCCAAAAATAGGTACGACAAATGTTCATCAATCTCTAGCTTGTTATAGCAAATTTTAAGGTTAGTATAAGAGCTCTTCAAATTTTTATGATTTGTTTCAATCTCCTTCCAGACAGAGCAAAGCTCAGGAAATTAAGTTTACATATATACATAGCAATATAGCATAAAAGTTTATACACCAAGTTTTGAGCTAATTAATTAACATATACACATATATAAAAACATAATAACAAGAAGCATACTAAACCCTAACTAATTTCTGCAACTTTCAGAAATTAAATACAACATAAAACAAAATCAGATAATATAACATTAAAATTACAACAGCAAACAATAAAACAAAAAAAAAAAAGATGTATCTATGTAATTTTACCTTATTGAAGGTAAATAAGGAAGAAGGAAGGATCTTTGTCGGCCGGTTTGGGATGAACGGAAGGGTTAAAGGTGCTGCGGCTCTTCGCTACTTGTTGAAATTAGACCTTCCAATTAAAATTAGTGAAGTTTAGCCTCTGTATTTATAAATATTGCCAAACGGAGGATTACTTTTTAAAATTGATATATAGTTCGGTAGATTATTTAGAAATTACCGTTCGTTAATTTTAGTTATCCAGCTAAGCCTGTGCTAATCTCCTTCTAGAACAAATACTTTAGTTTTCGTATTCATTTTCAAACAAACATATACATAATAAAATATTTTGCACATAAATCTAAAAAATTTCCTATTTTTTAACTACACATTCTTAAAAAAAAAAATCACTATTCAAACATCATTTCTTCTTAATAATGACAATCAAACAAGGGGCTAAATTTGTTTGTACTTGATTATTTAGAAATCATTGTTCATTACTTAATTTAATTATACAACTAAATTGTAATTCAATTCTAAGCCTACATTTGACTCATTTTTATAAACAGTTCGTCAGTACTCAAATTACTTTCTATCCACACATTCATTTATGCGACAATGTGGATTTCGGAGTAGCAGGAGAAGTGCTTGTTGGTTGTGTTGTTATTGGAAGCAGTGAAGCCAATTGATACGGCGAAGAAGATGAATATAGTGAAGGTGATGAATTAATCTATGGCGATGATGGTTGAGAATCATCATTAGGATCTTGTATCCTAGTAGCCTCAAGAGGTGGCACCATTATTCAATGTTGTTTTCAACAAAAATTTTTGATCGGAAAAAAACCCATGGATTGCGCAAGCTTACTCTTAACCCTATTGATCCGAGACGACTCAGCATGCGCACGAACCCATTCAGTCTGATCCATCTACTTTGACATATATAGGTTAAACTTAAAAGAAGATTTCTGTAATATTAAGGGTCTGTTTGAGCCACATTATTTTAAAAAAATGCATTCTTAAACAACGATTTGACATCATTTCAACCACACATTCTTCAATAAAATAATATTACACGTAAATCAAAAACTTTTCCTTATTTTTTAACCACAAATTTTTCATCAAATACACTATTCAAAAATGCATTATTACCAAAATAATGTGGCTCAAACACTCCCTAAACGTGAGAGGTTGCCTTTATCTAATTTCAAATAAAAAGAGAAAAAATGTTTACTATTCATGCAATAGTAAATTAATCCAATTTTACTATGCATGACGTCATTTTTTATTATTTATTTTGTTTATGTCAAACAAATGTTCTTCTACACATCATGTCACTAACATTAAAAAAATAATAATAATTTTAGTAAATATAAACTGCCATGAACAAAAAAAAAACTCTTTGCACATGATATTTAAAAAAAAGAAAAATAAACTCTCCGCACAATGCGGAGAGATGGCAAACCATGTGCGAAGTAAAAAAGGAAGAAAAAACTCTCCGCATAGTGTGGAGAGATGACAAATCATGTGTGGAGAGTTTGCCAACTCTCCGCACAGTGCGAACTAAAAAAACTAACAAAAAGGGAAAGAATTGTCTACTATTCATGCAATAGTAAATTAATCCAATTTCACTATGTATTATGTCATTTTTTATTTTTCATTTTGTTTATGTCAAACAAATATTCTTCCACACATCATCCCACTAGCATTAAAAAAATAATTATGTCAAACAAATGTTCTTCCACACCATGTCACTAGCATTAAAAAAAAAATAATTTTAGTAAATATAAACTGCCATGAACAAAAAAAAAACTCTTCGCATGTGAACTTTAAAAAAAATAAAAAATATACTGTCTGTACAGTACGGAGAGATGGTAAACTATGTGCGGAGTAAAAAAGGAAGAAAAAACACTCCGCATAGTGTGGAGAGATGGCAAACAATGCGCGGAGAGTTGACAAACTCTCTGTACAGTACGAAGTAAAAAAAATCTCTCTGCACAGTGCGAAAATATAGCAAACATCATGGCAAAACTCTCTGCACAGTCCGCACAATCTATGCAGACTCTCCGTACAATGTGGAGTAAAAAAAGAAACAAAAAAAATTTCTCACAGTGCAAAGAGTTGACAAACTCTCCGTACAGTGCGAAGTTTAAAAAAAAAACTCTCTGATAATGACTGTCACGTGCGTTGCTTGAATTTTACAATTATCATATTTTTATTAGTGTATAAATTTTAGTTTTTTAGAAAGTTTTTGAAGCAATATTCAGAAATAATTCCATGATATAAGAAAATAATGGTAAATTATTTTTACAATTGCATAATAGTATTGTGTCATCTAGAAAAAAATATACTTGTATATTTCATACTTGAATAAGAAATATAGGAGATTATACAAATTATTTTGCTTATATTCTTTGATATTGTTAATATGATTGAGTTGTATGTGAAGATTATATTTCTAAATTTTGTATAATTCAATATTAGAAAATTGAAGATTGAACACCATATTCATATGTATTTATATTTTGTGTTTCATATATAATTAATATTTATTTTATGCTTATGTTGAAAAAATAAAAATCCAAATTTTTTTTTGAAATTCGGTTTGATAAGTGAATGTACGGTGTTCTGCATTCTCGGTATTTGTAAGTGCAAAAATCGGTATTTAAAAATATAGTAAGTTGCAAATACGGTAAGCAGCATATACGGTAAGTTGTAAATACGGTAGACAGCATATACGGTAAGCTGCAAATACGGTAAGGTGAAAATACGGTAAGTTGTTTGCAAATACAATAAGCAGCATATACGTTAAGGTGCAAATACGGTAAGTTGTTTGTAAATATGGTAGGCTGTAAATACGGTAAACTGCAAATACGGTAGGCAGCATATACGGTAAGCTGTATATACGATAAGCTGCCTATATGGATTTATATTTGTTTTAAATGTATAAAATTTATTTAATATTGAATTTCTTAAGTATTAAATGTTGTAATTCAATATTATTTCCTTTTTTATAATTGCATTTTCGAGAATTAAAAAAAAAGTTATGAAATTGCTAATTTTTAAATGTATTTTTTTGTTGAAGATAAAAATGATTTTTTATGTTATTTGTAAAAAATTATTGTAATTTTATTAGCGTAATAAGAAGATTTATTATGCATTTTTATTTTTTGTATTTTGTGAAGAATTTTGTTTATGGTGATTGACAAATATTCTTCCACACACGCATCATGCCAACAACATTAAAAAAATAATAATAATTTTAGTTTATATAAACTCCACGAGACAAAAAATTTTTTTTTACACATGAGCAAAAAAAAAAAAGACTCCACAAAATGCGGAGAGATGGCAAACTATCTCTTCGCACAGTGTAAAAAGAAAAACAAAAACTCTCGGAACTTTTTCTGCAAGTTCCAAGAGGCATTTTCTCAAACAACTTTTGAGCAATGTATTGAACACTTTAATTCCTGACCTACAACCCGAAAGTATAATTTCATTGAAATTGTATCCGCTTCTAATGTCCAAAAGCTGTTATCAACTAAGTGTAAAATATTGAATTTGGGTAGTACTCTAGAGCCTCCATTTGTGAAAGCAATGCCATGGCACTATCAATATCCCCTTATTTGCACAACTCATATATTGTTTCATTGTATGAATCACGAGAAAGCTCATTTCCAAGAGATTGAGCTGTGACTGGAATTTAAAGAAGACATAATTGATTTTGAGCCATGTTTTTCGACTCTGTTTCGTTGTATATTCGAAAAATTTACAATCTTGAAATTTGACTTGTAATTAAGGAATTTGAAAACAACTCTTCGCACTGTACGGAGAGTTTTTTTCTCTCTATACTGAGCGGAGATTTTTTTTTACTCACTGTGCAAAGAGTTTGGCAACTCTCTATGCACTGTGCGGAGAGTTTTGCCATGGTGCGGACCAACTCTTCACACTGTGCGGAAAGAGTTACGGAGAGTTTTTTTTTACTCTACACATGATTCAACTCTCTCCGCACCTTTTTTTTAATTTTTATTTTTACTCTGCACTTGGTTCAACTCTCTCCGCACTGTGCGGAGAGTTTTTTTTTCAATTTTACAATATTAAATTACACAAAATTTAGAAATATAATCTTCACATTCAATTCAATCATATTAACATTATCAAAGAATACAAGCAAAATAGTTTGTATATTTATTATTCAAGTATGAAATATACAAGCATATTTTTTTTAGATAACATACTTCTATGCAATTGTAAAAATAATTTACAATTATTTTCTTATATCATGGAAATATTTTTAGATATTGCTTAAAAAACTTTCAAAAAAAACTAAAATTCATACACTAATAAAAATACGATAAATACAAAATTCGTGCAACGCACACGATAGGGACTAGTAATAGTAAAACTCTCATTTGAGGTTTTTGTAACTTTCGATCAAATTGAAATGCTAAGTTAAACATTATCAGGTGCTATTTCTTAAGGGCAGTTATATACTGATTGTAGGTCCCTCAAGGTTGGCTCATTGGTAATATTTACATTCTCAAATTTTAATTTTTAACCTTCCATAATTAGCACATTCTCGCCTTTGTTAATTGTTTTTGTCCAAAAAGACTATTGGGAGGGCGTAAAAAATCTTATTTGCCCATTACATCTAACAAATCAATAGATACAAAAGTACAAAATAATTTTCTCTAAGTAATGGAAGAATAAAATTGACGAAAAAGTAAAAAACATAAGTATTACAATAAGCAAAATAATATGACCTTGAATACAATTAATATATAGCTTAACAGGTAAAAATTGCGCCAATATAATCACCATCTTATCAATTATCTTAGCGTAAATTTCGACTTTAAATTTGTGGTACTTATGTTCTTAATTTTTAATATTATGTGCGATATCTTCATTTGACGGATAACGTCCATTTAAACATTAAATGGCCAGACAACAAACATTTGATACTTGACTTAATGGGTTAAATTGTCCAAACCCCTTGTTTGACAATCATTAAAATAAAACTATTTTTTTTCTCGAACTCTTTTTCATTCACACATTCTTACAATAAAATATTTTGTACGTAAATTCAAATTTATTCTTATTTTTTATCTAAACATTCTCCAACAATTCACTATTTCAAAACTCATTTTTTCCCAGAAT